GGGGCCCAGTGGACGCAGAATAAAGTTCTGTATGACAGCTATGGCCAGCATGGAAGGGAATTTAGAGACCATCTCTCTGAATAGCCCTCACTCTGGATGTCACGCAGAGCTGACATGGACCCAGGTCCTCTTCTGCATCGTGACATCAGACACAGTCACAAGCACCTGGGACCCGTGGTGGGGACTCGGGAGGAAGCACAGAGTGAATCAGAACACAGGGAGCGGGGGCATGGTGGAACAGGACCTGACTCCTGTCATGCTTTCTTGTCAGAGATTCCAGGTCGGTGGATTACCCGGGCCACACCCCCTGAGGGCTCCGACAGCCCGGCCCCCAGCACCCAGGAGCCCGAAGGCCCTCCAGAGCTAGAGCTTGTCGCCAGCACTTTGGCAGGTGTGGTAACCACAGCCATGGGCAGCTCCCAGCCCGTGGTGCCCCGAGGCAGCACCGACAACCTCATCCCTGTCTACTGCTCCATCCTGGCCGCTGTGGTGGTGGGCCTCGTGGCCTACATCGCCTTCAAGAGGTGAGAGGGTGCGGGGGACAGAGAGAGGGCGCCTTTGCCCGCAAGGAGGCATTTGCTCTGACTGACCTGAAAATATGCCCACTCTTCTAATTCAACCCCAAAGGGAGCTCACCCTCGCTCACCACCAGCTGTCCCACTCCGGGGCCTCCTGGGCCAGCACCGACAACCTCATCCCTGTCTACTGCTCCATCCTGGCCGCTGTGGTGGTGGGCCTCGTGGCCTACATCGCCTTCAAGAGGTGAGAGGGCGCGGGCGACAGAGAGAGGGCGCCTTTGCCTGCAAGGAGGCATTTGCTCTGACTGACCTGAAAATATGCTCACTCTTCTAATTCAACCCCAAAGGGAGCTCACCCTCGCTCACCACCAGCTGTCCCACTCCGGGGCCTGCTGGGCCAGCATAAGGTCAGGGACAGGGCTGGCGGGTGTGTGTGGGGGGTTGGGACTTGTCCCAGCACCTCCCCAGCCCCAGGCTGCTCCCCTCACTGACCTTCCCCCACTGCCCACCAAGTAGCTGCCTGTGTGCTCACGCCCCTGAGACCCACTCATCATGCAGTTAGTTACCTATGTGGGCCGGTACGCACGCTCCACCCATGTCCCACAGGATTCCCGGATGCCCACAGCCAGGAATCTGGGATGTGCAAGAATGCCTGGAGGACATTGCAATTTTTTTTAATCCATTTTCATTCTTTAAAAAAAAATCGCGTTCGTGCTCTCCCCTAAAAAAAAAAATCATCAAAGTAATACATGTTTGGGGACGGGGTGGGGGATGCAAATAAGGCCAAGGTCTGTAAACTACTACTGCCCATTGCCATTGAGGCAGAGTGACCCTGCAGGACAGGGCACAGCTGTCTGCATACGCAGGGTACGACTAACGCTTCACAGGAGCAGCAAGTCCCACCCTCGCCCTCAGAGCGACTGATGGCCTCACACTGCTGACCCTGCAGTTCACACCCCACGTGTAACCACTATGCTACCAGTGCACCAGGTCCAAAAAGCATCTCCCAGAACCTTGGTCCTCTCTCTCCGGATCTCTTTGGACAGGATCCTTCCCAGGCAGTCTCTGGGCATGTAGAAGCACACCCGGGTAACGGCTATACAGTTCTGCATCCACACGGATTGTTTCTTTTGCTCTTTTTTCAATCAGTGGAAACATACAGGGACGTCTTGGCCACCTGACATTGTCACCTAATCTTCCTGGGGAGAATTTCCCTCGGGACATCTAGATTATCTGATCATTCAATCATGTGGATGGATCATAATTGGTTTCACCAGTCGCCCTCTTGCTGGGCATTTGGTTGACTCTCAGCTTTTTGTTAGTGCTTATAATAGCAGCGGAAATCCTTGTATAAGTCCCTGCACACATGTGGAAGCATTTTAGAAGGGGGAGATTGTGAAAAGTGGAATTCCTGGGAAGTCATTTACTTATGCACCATTTATTCCATAAACATTTACTGACCTCCTTTTGTGTGCACCAAGCCCTGGGTGCCCTTCTGCCCTCTAGGGCTGCTGATGGAGGCCTGGGTGGTTGTGTAAAGAAGTGGAAATTGCACATGGGGCGAGAGCTTCAAAAAAAAAGCTCATGGGTAAATTCCATGCTCTTTCCATTCCGTTTTCTGTAACCATTTTGAGTCGGAGTCATGATGGGCAACCTGACTGTCTCAGAACTGCTGCGTAGCTCTGCTAGGAGCCTTGGTGGCATCGTGGTTAGGTGTGGGGCTGCTAACTGCAAGGTCAGCAGTTTGAAACCACCCGCCTCTCTTCGGGAGACAGTCTGCGCTTTCAACGCCTGTGAAGAGTTCCAGTCTGGGAAGTCCACAGGGGCAGCCCTCCCCTGTCCCGTAGGGTCACTGTGAGTCACCATCAACTTGATGGCAGTGAGTCTGGTTTTCGGAGGAGTTGGCTCCACTTGGCGGCCGTGTGTCGGGCTGAGCCAAGAGCCCTGGTCCTGAGCCGGGTCTGTTCCCTGGCTCCAGGTGGAACAGCTGCAAGCAGAACAAGCAGGGAGCCAACAGCCGCCCCGTGAACCAGACGCCTCCGCCGCCGGAGGGCGAGAAACTGCACAGCGACAGCGGCATCTCGGTGGACAGCCAGAGCCTGCACGACCAGCAGCCCCACACGCAGACAGCTGCAGGCCAGGGTGAGGAGCGCGGTGGGCCGGGGGTGCAGGGACAGGGAGGGCAGGCGTGACCAGATCGCACAGTCCCCAGGACTGCCAACAACGAAGGGCCTGGCTCATGGAGGCCTTGGGGTGGAGGGGTGGGGAAGCCCAGGGAGGGGAATGGATGGGAGAGTCGTTCTGATGGGCTGATGTGGGCGGTGGGGGGCTCTTACACGTTGGAGCATCCAGACTCATCAAGCTAATTGTCGTTCCCCCCCCTGAGGGCTAATTACCCCCTAAAGTGGCTGCAATTAGCCTCCTGCCCTGGACTTCTGGGGACCAAGTCATTAATGATGAGCCCTAATCAGCCACCCCGGCCAGGGACACTTGCTGTCGTTGATTAGTTGCTGGGGCCTGGCTGGGGTGGGGTGGGGTGGGGTGGGGGTGGGGGGACTCCAGTAGGGCTGCCTGAGAAGGGGGACAGTGAGTCAGCATCTCTAGGCCCCTCCATAGCCCTCTGCCTCTAGGCCCTCCCCACTGGGAGGGGGAATGCCTTGGACCTTTTCGGGCCTTACCCCCTGCCCCATGGTTGGGGACCCATGGGGGCAGGGCCTGACATCCTCTGGTTCCGGCAGCCCTCAGGGGTGATGGAGGCCTCTACAGCAGCCTGCCCCCGGCCAAGCGAGAGGAGGTGGAGAAGCTGCTCAACGGCTCCGCGGGGGACACCTGGAGACACCTGGCGGGCGAGCTGGGCTACCAGCCGGAGCACATAGACTCCTTCACCCACGAGGCCTGCCCTGCCCGCGCCCTGCTGGCCAGCTGGGCCGCCCAGGACAGCGCCACGCTCGACGCCCTCCTGGCCGCCCTGCGCCGCATCCAGCGATCCGACATCGTCGAGAGCCTGTGCAGCGAGTCCACAGCCACGTCCCCCGTGTGAGCTGACGGGGGCCCCCATCCTGTCCCCACATTCCCAGGACCGATGCTCCAGCCACCCCCATGGAGCTTGCCCTGGATAGGCAGCCACCAGAGCTCCTCTGGGCAGAGCCTGGAGCCCAGGCCATCCTGGCCCTGCTGCTGCTCCCCAGGTGGCTCCCCTAAATCTGACCCAAGTCCCTCTCCACCATAAGAAGCCCTCGAGATCTGCCTCATCACCGCCTCAAGCCTTCTGTTCCCGGCTCTCCACAGGACTCAACTTGATGGGCCAGCCTCTCCCCGCCTCCAGCCTGCCGGGTCATATCTGGGGGCTGATCCCCCCTGGCAGTAGGGAGGGTCCTTTTACAAGACCCTGGAGACTCAGAAGGGAGGGCCAAGGAGACAGAGCCATGGACTTGACACTGTGAATGTGGAGAGTGGGGGCCGCAGCCCCTCCGAAGTCCCATCACCTCTGACCTCCCAGGAGGGTGTGTGTGTGATATCTTGTTCACCCCTCATTTGACACACAGGGTGGCGAGGCCCAGAGATAGGCAGTGACTTCCCCAAAGCCGCCCAGCTATACAGAAGTTGATAGGACACCCTCCTCTCTGATGAAAGCCAGGCGCCCCTGGGACATGTCTCTAAGCCCAAGCCCAGTGGACTTAAACTCAACCCACCCCCACCCCTGCTGCTGTCCGGACCCTTGTGGGGTTGGTAGAGTGAAGCTGCCCCCCTCTGGGCATGTCAACATGGCACTGGGGTCAGAGAAGGGGTTGGGTACCCCCATGTGTTGGGGCCCTCAGCTCCGGCCCAGACCCTTGGCCACCCAGGCCATCACCTTCCCCTAGGACCTGTCCTGGGGGGGCGTTAAGGACTAAGCACTCCCCCACCCCCTGCCCTACCTCCATCCCTGCAACACACACACACACACACACACACACACACACACACACACACACACACACACTGAGGTGCCCTGGTGGCATAGTGGGTTATGTTGAACTTTAAACCACAAGGTCAGGAGTTTGAAATGACTAGCCACTCCTCGGAAGAAAGAGGAGGTTTTCTAGTTCCATGAAGATTTGCAGTCTCAGGCCTGGGTGATCTGGGAAGGCAGCGAGGAGGAGTTTACCTAAGGGATAGGCCAATATATCAAGCAGGAACACAGAGAATAAGGAAAGTAGGCTTGAGGGAGACCCGCTCCAGACTAAGTCTTGTAACCAAAGGACAACCATTTTTCTTTCTCCTCCCCAATTCTGGTATACTGGGTCAACCAAAGACCCCTTCTGGTGAGAATCTCAAGCCTAACAATCTTATTAGGATGTAAAACATCTAGAAAGACCATCTACCCACTGAAGATGATGTACACGAGTCCTGCCACATTGGCAGTATGTAATGAGTATGCATGTTATGGCACAGGAATTCCATTTTAATCTTGTATTTAGGAAAACCATGCACATGTGTACTAGGATATCTGTATCACAATGGTCATAATTCCTTGTTTATTTAACATTCTGGAAATCCTCATGCCCCCATCGGCCCATCAGTGGGACACACACACACACACACAATATATAAATTTGTAATTTCCACCTTGATTACAAGTGCTATTTCAATGACCAGTTCACCAAGCTGAACAGAAATTAGGCATTGCTTCTGCATGCTCACCAAATAGTCTGAGAAACCGCGCTATATGAAGAACTTAGCATCAGGATCAAAGGAAGATTCCTGATCAGCCTTGAGGAGCACTCGAAGCACTTACCCATGAAAATCAAAGATTT